AGTTTCCACCCGTTGCTTCTTGTCCTGCCTTCAGGCGCCTTGGAGAATAGCTTGACTCCCTCTTCTTTGTGGCAGCCCCTGAGATATTGGAACACTGCTATCATGTCCCCCCTCGTTCTTCTCTTCATTAAACTAGACATACCCAATTCCAGTAGTGGCACAGTGAGTGATTAAAGTGCAGTTTGCCCTTACGACCGACCACAGAGACACTGCAACATGCCCTCTGCCTATTTCCCCCTCCCCCCCCCTCCTGCCCTGCCGGGTCTCCACAGGCACTCGGGCCTGCTTTGCTAGCTTCTGAGATTCCACTTGCTCCTCCCTATCCCAATTCCCATCGCTTACTTATTTTTCAAAGATCTCCAGAGTTCCAGAAGCATCTGACCCTCATGGCAGAAAAGCTGAACTCTTTTATTCAAATACTGGCGAAGCTGTTTTCCTTAGATCTCACGTTCTTACAGCTTCACCAGCTTCTGAATAAAAAAAATTTTGGCTTTTCTGCCATGTGGGTCAGTGTCTTCTGGAGCTCTGGAGCGATTTGGAATGAGGTGGGGAGGAGCAAGTGGAATCCGGGCAACTAGCAAAGCAGGCCCAGTAGCTATGGAGATCCAGTGAGGCAGGATGGGGGGTAGCTACTATGGAGACCCTAAAGAATTGTATGAGGTATCTCAGTGGGTTGGGGGGTGGCCAAGGGTGGCCTGTTCCAGCACTAGGCCCCGCACGGTCTTTCCTACTCTGAGATACCTTATGTGCATTTAATGACCTGCACATTTGATTAGCGAATGGATTGGGTGAAACAGGGAGGGATCACGTTCATTTAACGTGATCCAATTAAATGAATCCTCGGGTTACAAATATAATTGGCAGGCTCTATTACATTTGTAACTTGGGGATTACTTGTACTCCATTAAATGCAAATTATGGCAATAAGCTTTCTGCTGCAGCAGTTTGACTAGCACAGAGGTATTGAGGATGATGATTTTTCATGGAACTGTTTATATTACTCATCAGAAGAAGAAAGCAAGTAAAGAAGCAGCAGCACAATTTTATCTTCTATAAATGTTTAGTCTGGTAGTCAATCAAACCAACCTACTACTGTAGGAGACTGGGAAGATGAAAATATAAAGTGGCTCTGAACACCTGGAAAACCTATGGCACAATAAACGTTAAACATCTAGCCCTCAAGAAATTGTAAGGCTCTCAGATGCATCATAAACATAAAAGCTATGCGTAAATTCATAAAATAAATCATCATAATAAAATGTTTACCTGATCCTTATTAACAAATCCCCAGATGCCAGCAGCCACTTCGCAAGCAAATAAGATGACGAGACATGTAAAAAACTGAAAAGACAAGACATATATCAGATTAAGGAAGTCAAGATGCATTTTCAGCAAAGAGAAGGTCTTTGGTTCAACCATCTATTTTGCAGTTCCTAGGTGGAGTACAAGGACATCAATATTTCCAATTGTGTTAAAAACAATTATTTTGATGAGAGGGTTAATTTTTTAAAATATATATTGTAGGCCAAAGAAAACAAGTTAAAAAGGGGAAAATTGGATTGAAGACATGGATTGTGAAAAGGAACAGAAGAGCATGTAGAATGAAGGTGGATATTAGATATGTTGTGATCTAGAAGCCCCTTTACTGTAATATGTCATTAAATATGAAGACAGTTATTTCCAGGCCCTGGTACATAGTGACACAATAGAAAGGGGAGTCAGAGGAACCATTTACAAAACAAAGTGAATGGAATGGAACAAGCTACTCTATACAGGGAAGTAACTTTCACTTTGTCAGTGAGGAATATGTTTCTGAGGACTGTATGCAACAAACAGCTCTATTTTAAATGATCAAAGGAGGAAAATTACTGTCACCATTTTCCTGAAATCTGTTATTTGCTAATTCTCTGGAGCTCAGCCATGTTGGCTTTCCTTTTTCAGATTGTTCTTTCCTTAGCAGATATTTGCACTTATTTTCACATATTTGCGCTGGCATATTTTAAAATAATCAGCTGAGATACAGGCAAAGACCTTTTTTCAATGCGAATGTCATCACAATGAATGAAAATAGCATATAAGCTATTCCAAATATCAGAATTATACTTCTTCTTTTTAAAAAAAAACAAAGGAGGACAGTCATAATTATTCCTTATCATTTCTGATCTCAGTCCTTCCCCAAATTATATCTAATATGCACGCTCTGGGCTTATACCTTGAATTAATTGACCTAACAACAGTTTTCCATTAACTGCAATTTCCGGTCGGGTTTCAAGAGCAGTGTCCTCTTAAAGTCAAGACAGTTGCTCATAACTGTAAGCAAGTTATGAGTAATGACTGCTGAATGTAACTAATTTAGAAAGAGACAACACTGGCACACTGTGAGATGGCACTCCTCACCACAACTGTCACAATTGTGAATCAAGTGGTAGCTAAGGATCAAAGAACACTCCAAACCTTTTTTTTTCATTGGAAGTATAACCTTTTTCAAAACAATCTGAATCTCAGACCCCAATTCAATCTCCTACTTACAATAGCATCTCTGTGTTTTCAGATTTAATTTCAGCTTATTGGATACAGGAAAATAATAAAGTAAATCATAATTACTGCTACACCCTAAGTCCTAAGACATTCTACTATGGAACAATAAGAGTGCCTCATGATCACTAACTCTTTCGATTGTTAACTATCATAATAGTGATCATTAAACTCAATGAAAATCTCACAAGAAAAACCTGAAAATGTAAACAAGAATACAAAAGATCTCTTACTGTTCCCAGAAGGCACTGTGATTCTTGGATAGCTCCATAACATCCTAGGAAACCCACAAACATCATCACTGCTCCAACAGCAATCAAAATATAGATTCCTGCAGGGGAAGACAAAAGAAATGCACATTCATTAACTTAGGATGAACATATTTTGTTATGTGATTAACAGGCATGGATATTCTATGAAAGTTGGATTACAGAACTAGGCAGTGGCAGGAGGGCAACAATCCACTTCATAAATATGAATCAGATTAGATGAAACAAAAGCTGAACGATTTTCTGTTTCTAAAAGTAGTGAATCAGAAGCTCACAAAGTACCTCACAAAGATGTGCACGAAGGGATTTCCCCAGCACTTCATATTCAGATCAAGAGCGCTTCTGCAGATGGAAGCCTTCTAATTATCACTTTCAATCCTGCAACTGGTGAAATCCCTTTTTAAAGGCATAAAAACTAATAGCAATAAAAGCTATACCTCAGTTAAGCATTCTGTTGGGAAGAAAAAACCAACTGCCCAGCTCCCATATATACTGGTATCAGCTCCATTCAGCACGGCTAGGTTAGGGATAAATAAAATTTTTGTTCCACACAGATAGTCCTCAACTTATGGTCACAATAGGGATCAGGATTTCCATTGCTAAGCAAGGTGGTTGTTAAGGGAATCGTGCCTGAAGTTATGACCTTTTTGCCATGGTTGGCAAGTGAATCACTACGGTTGTTAAGTGAATCATGTGGTTGTTAAGAAAATCTGACTTCCCCCATTGACTTTGCTTGTTGGAAGCTGGCTGGGAAACTGGTCATCACATGACTCCAGGACACTGCAATCATTGTAATTACATGCCGGTTGCCAAGCACCCACATTTTGATCACATGACTGTGGGGATGCTACGATAGTTGTTTGTGGGAGGACCAGTCATAATTCACTGTTTTCACTGCTATTGTAACTTTAAATGGTCACTAAACAAATGGCTGTTACGACAATGTTTCTTTTGGGGCTGTGTCAAAAGACTAACAACCAATAATGAAATCAAAATGCATGACTGTGGGAGGAGTGATGATGATGGTGGTGGTGTTGTTTATATTTTGACAGTACTGAACATACAGTACTGTTGGAATATGAAGGGGAAAAAATAATAACTTGAAAAATGCTGACAGCACTGCAGTCAGATTTGTCTTGTTTCCACAAAACACCAAGGAGAGATATAGAGAACTGGCTTTTTTTTTAAAACCGAGACACTACAAAATACTTCTCGAAACTGGTAAAAATATAGAAGGAGAATTGATATTCAGTGATGCAATACAGCTTTGTAGCAAAAACACAGCCTAAATCTTATGCAGATGTCCTTCCATTGGAAAGTTATTATAATAACATTTCTCAAGCAGATAATAACTACAAAGGAGAACCGAATGCTTGATATGGACAAAGGACAGAGATAATGAGATACCGGTATTCTTGCTCAAAATCTAACCAGACTTTTAGCCACTAAAAACAACATTTTAAATTTAAGTTCGGATCCCACAGACACCATGTGGGAGAGTTAGGTGGATCATGGCGCCTCCTGGCCCACAAAAGCCTTTGTTGACTCCATAGTGATGCACATAAAGTGAAAGACTGGGAATTGCTGCCATGAATACAATTCAGTAGACTGGCTGGAGGCCAGAAGAGCAGCAAGAAATCAGTTGCAAAGGCTTCATTTTAGTGCACTGGGCTGGGAGAGATGAAGGGATTCAAAAGAAGAGGGGCGTCTTTCAAGTTCTTTGAAATGAAGGGAGAGACTTCTCTTTCAGCCAACCTCTGGTAACACAGACAGATCCTTCCTGTTACCTGAGGTTGGCTGCATCAAGCTATGGTGAAACCAAAAAGGACATTGACTATAAGTAGTCCTCCACTTATGATCACAATTGAGCCCAAAATGTCTGTTGCTAAGTGAGACTGTTGTTAAGTGAATTTTGCCCTATTTTATCACCTTCTTGCCACAGTTGTTAAGTGAATCACTGCAGTTGTTAAGTTAGTAGCATGGTTGTTAAGTGAATCTGGTTTCCTCATTGACTTTGCTTGTCAGAAGGTCACAAACAGTGATCACATGACCCAAGGACACAACCACTGTAAATACAAGTCAGCTGTCAATCGTCTGAATTTTGGTTATGTGACCATGGAGATGCTGTAACGGTTGTTAAGTGTGAAAAGTGATCATAAGTCACTTTTTTCAGTGCTGTTAGAACTTTAAATGGTCACTATGTGAACTGTTGTAAGTCGAGGACCGCCTGTATTTTACATTTTGGGCTCATTCGGATCCACTTGTTTGAAAGCTAACAATACTTTCAAGGAACAGAACTGGATAAAGATACAACGGTGTAGCCCTATTCTCTTTGGTTTATGACATATGACTTGCCTGCTCATTTATTTGGTTCTATTAGTGGCCTTTTAAAAAGAGCAAGTTTGCTGTAGTGATTAATAATCTCTTAGGTTGGAAACTGGGAGACCGTGAGTTCTAATCCCACCTTAGGCACAAAGGCAGCTGGGTGACCTTAGGCCAATCACTCCCTCTCAGCCCTAGGAAGAAGGAAATGGCAAATCACTTATGAAATCTTGCCAAAGAAACTGCAGGGAGTTGTCAGGCAGTCATCACTTAAATGAAGTCCTTTGCTTTCTCTAAAGGGGGCACAATGGCTCAGTGGTTAAAGACAGCCCGGATTCTAACTCCAAGCTCCACGCAATGGGGTGAGCTCCCGTTACTTGCCCCAGCTCTTGCCCATCTAGCAGTTTGAAATAATGCAAATATAAGTAGACTAATAGGTACCACTTCGGTGGGAAGGTAACGGCCTTCCGGAGTATACCCATGACCACAGAAATTGTCTTCGGACAACACTGGCTCCCTTGGCCAAGAAACGGAGAGGAGCACTGTGCCTTGGAGTTGGACAAAACTGACAGGGAAACCTTTACCTTTTGCTTTCTCTAAGCAAACCTGAAAAATGTTTGTTGAACCCATCTCAATCTCTCATCCCCANCTCATCCCCAACAGTGAATTAATTATAAGCACACTTCTAGGTGTTTTATGCAACATCCAACATATTTATTTTTATTCTTGTGAAACTGAAATGGTAGAAATACAAAATATTGTACTCGTGTAAACGTAACTTTTTCTTTGTGTGGTTTTTTTTTTACACTGGAATTCCAAAAGTGTAAGACAACTGCGTATTACCAATAATAAAATCACAAATACCATGAAAGGAATACAGCATCACATGGGTTGAACTTTCCTTTTGCAATCCAACTTAAAACTTATCCAGCATTCCACAGGTTAAAATATTAATTTATTGCTGGCTACTCACAAGTAAGTACTAGAAGGGTGGTGTGACAGCTCAGCAGTTAAGATGCTGGGCTTGTCGGCTGGAAAGCTGACAGCCCAGGTTCAAGACCCCAGCGTCATGTGACAGGCTGAGTTCACATCCTTGCTCTAGCTCCTGCCAACCTAGCCGTTCAAAAGTACGCAAATCCAAGTAGATAAATAGGTATCACTTCAATGGGAAGGGAACAGTGCTTTGTGATATTATGCTGGCCACATGACAGTAGAAATGTCTTTGGACAGCGCTGGCTCAATGGCCCTTGAAACAGAGATGAGCACCACCCCCTATAGTTGGCAATGACAAGTAGTAGTAAAATCCACAGGGACTCCTTTACCTTTACTCACAAGTAAAGAAAAACCAATGAATTGTAGAGGCTGCAACATTTCACTTATTTTAAAAAATCTCATGCATTAAATTTTATTTAATCTTCATCTAACTCCTTTTCTTATGTTGGGTGGGTGTGACAGGATTTACATTCCCAGAAATCTGAGGAGCTCCAGGATGAATTAAAGTTTTCACACCGGAAGGCATCAGCACACCAATTCTGCCAAATTTTCAGCATAGCTTGCAAATAGCAAAAAGGGAGAGAAGTGGATAGGATACAACATAATGGGAAGAGAGAAAGAAGAGATTTGATCACTTAATGGCAGTCAGGAAGTAATAAAATAATTGAGAAGCTATTGGGAGTAGAGCCAGAATTTTTCTAAAATACAGACAAATAGCCTTTATTGAGTTTGTCCCTAACAGCAGAGCCAAGCAGACAACCGGAGACTAATAAAATGAGACTATTTTATGCAATTTAATTTAAAACACAAACAATAGCAAAACACCCAAGCATGCAGTGACCTTCTACAGACATGTCAAACACAAGGCCCGGGGGCCAGATATGGCCCGCAAAGTGGTTTCATGTGGCCCGCGAAGCCACCTTGGAAACAGTGAGGGAACAGCCCCTGCTGCCTTGGTCCTGGCCCAGGCCGGCCGGGAGCCAATGTGCAATTTTGTGGTGGCCATCTATGCTGAAATGCATTCAGTCTTAGCTCCACAAGGCCATCTGGAAACAGCAAGGGACTGGCCCCTGCCGCGTCAGCCCCGCCCCCTGGGTGCATGCTGGGGAGGTGTCACCCTTTGTGAGGAATGAAGAAATGGACCATGCCTTGGCGCTTGCCCCGGTCCCACCCTCTTCTGCCAGAGACCCTCAGATCTGTCCCACTCCTGCCCAGGCTCCCACAGGCACCCTTGATGCGAACGATGTAGAGCTGGCCATGCCCATCCAGTAGACCACACCCACTCCATCCACGCCCACCCAGTAGGCCGCACCCACCCTGGCCACACCCACCCGGCCCCCCGAGGGCAACCACAATGCTGATGCGGCCCTCAATGAAATTGAGTTTGACATCCCTGTTCTACACTATTTGAGCAAATCAAAAGAGAGTGCCATAGATTTTTAATAGTACTGTATTTTCTTAGCTTTCAAATATATGTTCAAGCTTGTCTTGGCATTCAATCAAATCCATCCATTCATCTATCTAGCTATCATCAAGCAAATTTATATATCCACCCAACTCTCACACAGCTGACTCAGGATAGCTTACAAAATTTAAAAAATCCATCATATAATGAAAACCCATAATGACCCCTCCTGTGACAGCAACTACAGAGTCATCTCTATAAAAGAAACCAGACAGTCTTTTCTGAGACACCAATTCCCTGAATCTGTATTGCATAATAATTTAAGACAGTCTATTTCTGAGT